TGTAAGCAGTGCACTATTTCCTGTAAATGGAAACCACCTTTCTGACAGCTTTTATGGACAACAGCAAGTCTTTCTTCATGAACATTTATTCCCCCGACGCAACTTCCCCGCCACAGAGCCGTTGACCTCGCGTGAGATGACCAGTCATCTTTGGGACTTGGTAGGGGGAAGGGGCAGTGATTTGCTGCAGGGCAAGAAAGATGATAATTTACTCTTCCGTGCTAAACTAGAAAGAATTTTGAGTCTTGAAACTAGGGATCATATTATATGCTCATTATACATTTTATCTTTTAAAATACTTTTTAAAATTTCATAGGTACATATACCAGGCTCGGAAGGCTCTCTGTCATGAATCCCTTGGTACAAATGCCACATGTTACTAGAAAAATCACATGAAATGTAGCATGGTACACACTTGGCCTAGGAAGTTACACTTATCTTAGTTCACTGAAGCATTTAATTATAAACATATATATATAAACATATATATATATAAACATATATAAACATAAGCTAGTTTTTGGCTTGGTATGGAGGCGCTTACATCTTCTCTCTTGTCTTGTTTCATCACAATGTCCTTAAGAAGCAGAGGTCAGTAATTATTATGATCATTTCAAGGGAAGAGATATGGAGCAAGTTACTTACTCCCTCTGCTTCTAAAAAATCCGTCTGCTTTTCCATCTGTTGACTCATACTGGTGTTTGAGTCTACAGAAAAATATGTTTTACTTTGAACTTTATGCCTTTTCTATATACTGCTCTATTTGCTGAAAACATGAGGCTAATAGAAGATGAGGGCTGAAGACACGTAATCTGCAAATACAAAGTGGAAAGACAGCTTAATCACTTGTTCGACAAATATTTATTTAACATCTACTTTGTGCATGGTGCTCTGCTAGACTCTAAAAGACAGAGAAGCATAAATGGTGCCTGCCCTCCACAGCTGGCACTCCAGTAGGGAAGATAGTCACATATACTGGGGATGCCAAAAAAAAATGTATACACATAGACTTGTATTCATCTTTTATTATCAGTATATATTGAGTACTACAATTTGAATACAGTTTCTTCCTTTCTTAAAATGTGTACACATTTTTTTTGGCACCGTGTGTGTGTGTGTGTGTGTGTGTGTGTGTGTGTTGCTAATTTTCTAATGGAGGGAAAATGTCCCATGGAGCACAGAGGAACACTATCCAAAGCCAAAAGTAGGAAGGGGCTGCTTATAATTTAGGCTCTACCACTGGCTAGACCTGTGTTCTTGAACAAGTTACTTAGCTACTGTGAGCCTTAGTTTCTTAAACTGACAATTGGGATAATAATATCTGCTTTTAAAAATCAGGACGATATAGCTAAGGCATCTAGCACAATGCTCAACTCTAATCAACCATGTGACAGTAGCTGTGACCTGAAAAGGAGGGACAGCTCACCATGAGTCATAGTGATTAAAGAAATCTTCTCAGAGAAGAGAGTCTGTGTGAGCTGAACCCTGAAAGGTGGGCCAGGGTTTAAAGATGAGAAGGAGGGCTGGCTGAGTGGCTCAGTTGGTTAAGAGCTCGCTCAAGAGTTTGAGCTCTGAGC